GGGGAGATAACAAAGCCCCCTTATACAAGATCTGGGAGTTAAGCCCCCTTCTGCTTTCGAAAATGGATAATTTAATACGAGCATGATTGACGAAAACTCGATGTATTTTCAAGAAGTACAATTAAAATTATTAAAATCACGTTCTTCATAGAGCGATAACTCTTCTTGTCTAAATATTTCACATGTACATAACAGCATTCATTTATGCTGTTTATTTTTCAAATAGAATAACTTAGATTAAAACTTACACGAAGAACTTCTGATAGCTGCATTGAGTTGCATGGGCGCAGAAAACCAACAAATATTTACTGAGATCTGGTGTTTTATTCTCATTTATGTGTCGATGCTGTTCCTCATCGTGTGTGGGTCAAACCACACGTCATTTGCACATTGAAATATCGGAAATCTTGGGAATCTCTCCATTAACAGGGAAAACTTCCTCTTGTCCACCACCGTCCGCAATTCTTTCCTATATCTCACTCTGCCGATTCTAATGACTTCTCAATTCTCTCTTTTTCCTCCGACAATTATGACCTTATGATTCATGAAAGCCTTCTCATATCTAAGCTTAAGGCGTCTCTTAACACCCAAGGTAACTTAATCCCCCTTCACCTTCTTTAATATACTCCCCTTTTCATTTTATTCCGTCAACCAAACTTTCTACTCTCCTCATATGTAATTTAACACCTTGCAAACATATGCTTACATTTAAAGCCTCATGCAAAAATTTCTATGATTTAATCTTAAGATGTCTTAACATTGGCGTCAATCCTGTGTTAATTGGGGGGAGGGGATATTCATATATTCTGCTATGCCTGGCTAATTCCTTTTCAAAATAATATCAGTTTCAAAAGAAGTCAGCCTGGCATAACAGAATATATGAATATGGTCCTCATGCAATTATCCATGGATTGACGCCAATGTGTCTTAACATGTTTGTGGATGTAGATCGTCCAGGTTGGTATAGTCCTGAGAAGGACTGTTTATGTTTTTGTTGACTGACGTTTTGACAACCTTAGCGGTAATCATCTTCAGAGTCATTTGACTCATTTGATTCTTCAGAGTCATTTGACTCTGAAGATGACTACCGCTAAGGTTGCTGAAACGTCAGTCAACAACAACAAAAACAGTCCTTCTCAGGACTATACCAACCTGGACGAAATACATTTACAAACATGTAACGATACTCCCAGGTTCAAACCATTTACTTTAATGTGTCTTAAGTTAACGACATTATTAAAAAACCTTCATTTATTATTTCTGATTCACTATCGTGATGGATTTTTTAAAATTCTTAGGTAGAGCTATTATCTTCATAATGAAAATATTGTTAGTTTAATTTGAAAGGTTATCACTACTGTTTTAGAATGATAGTATTCTAGTAGCAGTAGAGTAATAGAATTTAGTATACAACTATACATAATGTTATAAATAATGTTTTCGTTACTTTGTCAAAAATTACAATCATTTATAAATTATAAGCTATTGTAGTAGACTCATTTTCTTAACTTTCAGAGCTCCGTCGCGCATACCGAGATATGAGTGTGTGTAAGTCTATTTCAAACGTATATTAAAATAGCAGTCGTTACTTGTAAGACATGTGAGCTATGATCTGTCATGTATGAGTCATTTCGATGAAACATTGTGAACATATAGGATAATGTCAAACAACGCTCTCGCGTATTTCTTACAATTTCATGGCTTCAGTCTCGTCAAAAGAGCAACCTTCCTCTGATCAATTTAGTTCTTCAGAACTTTTTATAACCTTTCTTTCACTTGAAATAATTTACAGCAGTAAATGATGAATTTCCAATCTTGTCATTTTGCAGGTTGATTCTGGCATACTGCAGCTATATATTATCAGCAGCTGATGTGGGGTAGGTCAAAACATATCAAAGAAGCTCATTTCAAACTTATAAGTCTTTTTTAGCAAAGATGTTGGTTGGAAATCTGTGAAGAATATTTAATACATCAAAACTTCCAACAAGATATGCTCAAAGTATTTGAAAATGGAATGTGTGTTCAGTTATGCATTCTGACAATCGCAAGATCTGACTGTGTTTACTATATAGTGACAGCTGTGACAATGTTTATATGCTTCCAAATGACAAAATAAAAGTTCCAGCAAATATTGCATTTCTTGAGTTGAAATTTAGTTATATTGGTGATCTGATACAAAAGTTATTCACTGTTATTCTGAGATTCAGATTCAGACATTCAAATATATCACTGTTATTCGGAGATTCAGCCAAAATGAGCATGAATTGGTTAATAATTAAGTACCCATAGGTTGGTTGCAAGTCAAGATTTCATTTCCTCACCGCATGTTTTTAACTTGTTCCTAAGGGTCAATTAATGTCAATTCTCCAATTAAGATTCAAACTGCCTTTTCTAGTATGAAGTGTGTAAACTATATAATGTGAAAAACATGCTTGATTTCGTCGAGACATATTATTTATACTAACGTCCTTAATCAACTATAATTGATGAAAACTTTGAATTTATTCCCCATTTACGTAACTTTCAATAATATTAATTTCACCAACCTACAGCTCTTGAAAATACGCCACCAAACCGACCAAAAGTTAGTATCATAATGTCAATGTAACAACACCGCCGTTTTTTTGCATTCAATACTTCATGTAACTTCTGCTATTACTACAACATCTCGGAAATTTTCAGCAAAAGGAAAATAGAAAATTCCCGCCGTGGCTCAGGACACGCAACAAAATTTCATTTGTAGGAGGATTAGTTCACGCTCATTTACAGGTTGAAACTTTCCAACATTGTATGTGCTAACTGTATGTATGTGTAACTAAACATGAAAAAAGTGTGAACAATTTGCATCTATATCTATAAGAGTTACTATTTGTTATTTTTCTCTAATTTTTGCGAATAAGTTATGATTCAAGTAAACGCGTTTCGACACTTTTTGCTTTCTATTGTTATATTTTTTAGGTGTTTGATTTAAAAAGTCAACTAAAGGCAAGAAAAAAGAGTTTGGTCTTTTGATGAATTGAAAGGCTCTTTTTAACCTTCTAAGTTCCTTTTCGTTGAATGACAGTGTCATAAAGAAAATTATCCTTCTTGGAATATGCATTTGTATTATTCTTCTCGGAATATACAATATGTAGCATAACTGTCCAATGATTAAATAATCAATGATCATTAACTGAAAAGCCCCAAACATTTGTTTATGATAAAGTAAATAATAGTATGGTGCCTTATGGCTACAGATTTTTTGTCCATTGAAATATAATTGCAGGAATGTAGGATTTCACCGACATATAACGGCCACGATTCCCCAAGCACTAAAGAAATCATAGCTAAAAGTCCTTCGGCAACAACAATTTTAGAAGCATCAATCTGCTTACCATACGCCATATTGGCATAAGTCGCATCACACACTTGCATAAATTGACTTTGATATATTACATTCATGCATACACTTCATTTGTCCTTTACTTACGATTTTGGATGTAAATTTCTGCTGATAAAACTCAAAACAATGTTGGCTTTTTTTTTTAACATCAATGACTTAAATGTCGCTCGCAAGATCGTCTTTGCCAAGCATTTACAATTTATCCATAAATTTTTCACCCTCTTGAAAAAATTCACAAATTGGACAGCAGCATTCATGTCAATATATCAATTTGTAAAAGATTTCCATAAATGCCATCTGATTGTAGTTTAGTTTCTATCATGCTTATAAAACGATCAAACATTCAATTCAGACAGTGAGCTTGACTATGTTAGTTTAGTTGGCTATCAGTCGAAATCCGTCAAACCAATCACAATAAAACAAAAATTCAAATGAACTAATTGTACGATAGCAATTGGACTCCCTTATACGTCCGGCCACCCCTCTTATCAGTCGAGACCATTCCAGATTGTCCACTGATCTGCCATTGACAATGAAATAAGCGTTTTTGGCGTTCATAGACTCTTTTATCCGTCCAACCTGTCAAGCCACCCAGGGGCGGATCTAGGATTTTCCACACGTCAGTCCTAAACCGGCGAACGCCGGAGGTGTTTGCCCGTAAGGGGTCCGAGGGCATCCCCCCTGGAAAATGTTGAAGCCTAGGGTCCCAGAAATGTGATTTCCAGCGTTTTGTAATAGCTTTACAACAAATTTTAAAAGTGAATGAAATCGCAGTTTTTCATTTTTTTCTTACAAAATATTGAGGAAAAACACGCTAAGACCATTTCGCCCAATGTCAGGGCTCTTCAGCATGCCTCGCAAACACATAGTGCAAAGCAACAATGTGATTCAGGACATTGACAGTCTTTGATTTAGCAGCAACGGCGCATTACAGCAACCAGTTGTGCTGTAAGACATTTCTGCAGCAACGGCGCATTAAGCAGCCAGTTGCACTGTCTTACATTTCTGCAGCAACGGCGCATTAAGCAGCCAGTTGTACTGTCTTATATTTCTGCAGCAACGGCGCATTAAGCAGCCAGTTGCACTGTTTTACATTTCTGCAGCAACGGCGCATTAAGCAGCTAGTTACACTGTCTTACATTTCGGCAGCACCGGCGCATTAAGCAGCCAGTTGCACTGTCTTACATTCTGCAGCAACGGCGCATTAAGCAGCCAGTTGTACTGTCTTACATTTCTGCAGCAACGGCGCATTAAGCAGCCAGTTGTACTGTCTTACATTTCTGCAGCAACGGCGCATTAAGCAGCCAGTTGTACTGTCTTATATTTCTGCAGCAACGGCGCATTAAGCAGCCAGTTGCACTGTTTTACATTTCTGCAGCAACGGCGCATTAAGCAGCTAGTTACACTGTCTTACATTTCGGCAGCACCGGCGCATTAAGCAGCCAGTTGCACTGTCTTACATTTTTGCAGCAACGGCGCATTTAGCAGCCAGTTGTGCTGGAAGACATTTCTGCAGCAACGGCGCATTAAGCAGCCAGTTGTACTGTCTTACATTTCTGCAGCAACGGCGCATTAAGCAGCCAGTTGTGTTGTAAGACATTTCTGCAGCAACGGCACATTAAGCAGCCAGTTGCAAAGTCAGTAATATTTCTGCAATAACGTAGCCATAACACATTAAGCAAATTTCAAACGTGTATTACCTTCAGCAAACATATTGATCAGTCTTTCTATGTCAGGAATAATTTCTGGGTGAATTCGCATTAAAGCCAGGCCATTTAAACGTTCCTCTACCATAGTGCTCCTTTGGTAGGTTTTTAGATTCCTCAGTGCTGAAATTGATCTCTCACATTCACATGAGGTGATTGGTAGTGTACCTAAAATGCGAAGAATAACTTTAATATTTTCAAATCCTGGAAATGTTACATGCTTCAGTGTTTTGACGATGTTTTCTGGCAAAGGCCCATTGTGCGTTTCCCAGTATAAACGCCATTGCCTTAATTCAGCATCTAAACCAAGGGGGTTGGGCAAGTCATCATGATAGAATTTTGCAACACTTTTAAACTGTTCTTTCCAATCAATTCCTTTGTCCGACAGAGTCATCATTTTGACAGGAACGATAGATAATCCTCGGTACACATTAACACTATCCAAGTTAAACCTAGTTCTCAAAGATGTTTGAAGATGGTCTAATAAAGGAATAGTGATGGTTAGTTTATAATGTTCTTTGAATGATTGACTGGGGGGATTAGATCGCATAGTTTGTCTTCCAGCAATTCGCTTTTTTGTTTCTTGAACGTTGACCTCTTCAGCAAGTTTTAAAGCCTCTTCATACCAAGTGTTATGATAAAAATTAATGCTTTTCCTCATGTTGGCTACATCATTCTTCAAAGTGGTTATCAAATGAAAACCATCCATAACATCAATAGTTTTTCCCTGCAACAATTGCGTGACTGGAAGAGTAGCATCAAGAATATTTCTTGTAATAACTAGCGCAACAATAAAATGAAATTGAGTAACTAATGAAAGTAACTAGGAAGCATCAGCAGAAACGGAAGGCTTCACCTCACCACTTACATTGTTTATCATGTCCTGAAGAGTGTCGATTAAAGGGATAAACATGTGTTGAAACGTGTCAAGACTGTCAACTCGCTCAACCCATCTGGTTTTACAAAGACTTACCAGTTTTGCCTTCTTGGTCTGAACATCTGACTTTTAACGTGCTCAGCAAAGGGTATGTTGCGTGTCTGTGATATGTTGATAAAATTGGCAGCTTGAGAAACAACAGATAACATGTTATTAATTTCAACGTTAGAAAGAGTGTCACAGACAGACAAATTTAGTCGATGACTGTAACAGTGAGTGTAAAGAGCTTTAGGATTAGTTCTAAAATGTGGGCTGCTAAACCATTTATATGCCCAGAAACAGCCCCTGCACCATCATAACCTTGTCCTCGCAATCCATAATGGGTAAGGCAAATTTCTCTAGAGTTTCTAAAATAAGCTTTAAAGTTGTTGACCACTCAACCCCATTTTCAATGCAGGAAACACATGAACTCTTCTTTAACATTCATTGAAGAGTCAACAAACCGTAGAACAAGGGACAATTGCTCTTTGTGAGAAGAATCAGCAGCTTCATCTGCAATGATAGAATAATATCTATTTTTTTTTATCTCGTTTATAATATCTTCTGATATTACCTGACCAATACAGTTGATGATTTTGTTTTGGCTGGTCTTGGAAATATAACTTTTATTCTTGCCACATTTGAGCAAATGATTTTCCAAAGTTTGATCACCAGCTCTAACTCTAAAATTTAAAGATTCAACAAAATTACCAACATTGCCATTGACTGAATAGCAACCGACCTCTGGGTGAAATTGAGCATCGTCACGATGACCTTGTAATCCAATGCCAAGCCTTCCACAAAAAAGAACTGTATCAACAATTTGTTTAAGAATTTTCCTATTTTGCTCAATTTCAAGTTTTATGTTAGTATCTAAGATATTTTCAATGGGTTGAGCTACACCTGACATTTGAGAGCATATATTATTCAAAGTTGGAGAAGTAGATGCATGTAGTCCCATCTTTTCCCCCTTACAATTTCCAGCATGTCGCCTAAATGTACCTACAGCATCATTCCAATGACGAAAAGGTGAACGAAATAGATTGTTTATTCTCGAACATTTACTTGGGAATTGATGTCCAAAAAGAACACACGATAAGCAGTAAGCACCATCTTCCGTTTGGTGAATAACTCAGCCAGGTAAAATCTTTGAGCCATTCATATTTAAAAGACCCTTTATTGTTCTCACTCAAAGGAGGAAAAGTGTACTTTTCATCAGGTTTAAAAACATTTTTAATAAGCAAACAAATATCAGACATTTTCAAACATTTAGCTCCTTTGTAGTAGGTAGCTACATCAAAATTGTGAATAAAGTTAGGCTTTACCTGTAAATCTTCAATGGTTTGTTCAGTAACCCTAGTACAAGAAACCTCACTTGTAATGATTTCTGGTTTTCCATTTTGAAAAACTTACTGATATTCCCAGACTTTTTTTCAGCTTTTGCTTTTTTTGAAGGCACTGGGCATGTTGGACCAGAAATTGTCCTTTTAGTTTTGCTAGGAAAAAAAACTAGAGGAACAAAATGATTAGGTTGGAAACATTGATCTGGTTTAACTATCCCTTTATAACAAAACAAAAGATGAATTGCATCGGCTGATTCTTTAACTATTCTTCTTGGACAAACAAGAGAGTTGAATATTGATTTAGGCCTTCTCTCTCCACAATCTGGGTAGTAAGTAAAAATTTTTGTCTCCAACACAGAAGAAAGAGCTAAAATGCATAGAAACGATGACCACTTTTGGTCATGACAATTCAAAAAGGCCTCCTTTTTGACAAGATCAACACCTACAAAACCAGAATCTAGACAGTCTTGAGATACTGTCAAAGGTAAAATATTCTTTGAGGTGTTGTTGAATTCTTTATGCTGTTCAACAATTGAGGAAAATAAAGGATGTTGGCAGTAAAAGTAGCATTCAAAACAGCTCAAGTGATGTTAACTGCCTCAAAATATGCAATAAACTGTTATCACCTGCCAAAAGCAATGACACTGAACTGTAGAGACAGTTGCCAGATACTTCTGATCTAAATTGAATAAAAAAGTCGTGTTCCTATAAGTCCTCCAACAAAATTTAACTAACTGGCCAGGAAATATCTAACATAGCAACGTAGTTACATGTAGAAGATAATTCAAAGTTCAAATATAAATTCACTATTCGCTGAATTTATGCCAATATTTATAATAAAATTAAAAGCCCAAGCCGTAGATCTTTAGTATACACTGCACAAAATGAAATCTGCTTCATTAAAATTTATACAACAGAATGATAGACATAACCAACATCTACACACATAAATTGATGTCTAATGGCATTTGAGAAATTAACCTGCATCTTCCTTGTAAAGCAGACAAGTCTGCTCAAGCAGAGAGTCTTATACGCTACAATTCCCGAGGCTTGTGACCCATCAGAGTTAAAAGGTGAAAGGTTTATCATAGATTAAGTAATGAATATTCATGCTCATTTTTTTGTTTGGAAGCATGTTGAACAGTTCATATGGACAATCTCGAATTCCGTCAGTAAACATCAGTAACATAATCCGGTGTTAATGTTAGACAATACATCATTGCCCTTCAGTGAAAGCATCCGCTTTCCCACTGGAAAGCATCCGCTGCTGGGATGCGATAATGTCACATTCTTTTTCAGTGGAAAGGCGGGATGCTTTCACGAAGGCAATGATATGATACAGCATTAACTTTCCGGATATCAATATTTAATAATTCAGCTTTTATTATATAATTTCAAACAAAAATGAGCACGAAAATTTCAGTTGATAATCTATGATAAACCTTTCACCTTCTTCTCTGCTTAATTATAGCGGCGACTTTCTGCTGAACGAACTTCAATCTGCTACAGAAAGGAAGTGAAAGGTATTTCTCAAATGTTGAACCAGATAAATTATATTAGTTATTGGATCTTTGCAATGTATCATTCGATTGGTATAACATTCAACTATTTGACCTTGTAATTAATACGAAAAGCAGTCAATAGACATAATCACATAAACCACATCTCATTAGTCACACTTAAATTTATATTAATGGTTTGGATGCCTTAAGGCCATGCATCATTTCACTTTCTCCCTCGGTGCTTACGTACGATTTTGGGGATGCAAATTTCTGCTGAGAACTCTGCTCAATGATGTTTCGTATTTCAAAAGCAATGATAAGAATTCCTCTCTCGACATTTTAGTCGCCCCACAATATTCCTCATTCAAATGCAATTTCAATTCATTCAGAGATTTATCGTTCTCTTGCGAAATTACAGTCTGAACAGCAGCATACATATCAATATTTAACATTGTAGTTTGTAAACGATTTTCCAAATAAATGCAATGAAACAGATTTACAAACCACGCTAAAGTGAATCACAACGTGATGATCTATTTCGCATTCAGGGCTATCAGTCGAAATCGGTCAAACCAATCACAATAAAACAAAAATTCAAATGAACCAATTGTAAGATAGCAATTGGACTCTCTTATAGGTCCGGCCACTATTATCGGTCGAGATTATTCCAGACTGTCCACTGATCTGGCCATTGACCAATAAAATAGCGTTTCTGGCGTTCATAGACTCCTTTTATAAGTCGAACCAGTCAAGCCCCGCTTATCAGTCGGTTATTCCAGGTCAATTAAAATTCAACAGGTCTGGTTACCAAGGAGATATTCATTGGATTAGTCATTAGTTTTCAATAATAAATAAAGCTGGATTTTTATCACGAAGTAAATGCGATAATAAAGTAAGAATAATTAATGAATTTTTAATTAATATGAATAGGTAATTTTTTAATTTCAAACATCAGTCGCACGACGGATTTGACATACTCTATATCCGCCCCTGCCATTAAACGTCCCTCATTCATATGTAGGCATTAATGAGATTCTCTGTCGCAAGTTAAAAGCTTCAATCGTGGAAGTAACGCGATCTAGCGACAGTATTTTGCCCAAAGGCGTGTCTGCTTAGAGTTTGCTTCAGAAAACTGGGAGAAACTTACATCAGTGTTTCCGACCCAAGTGGACCTTCTGTTAAGATGTGTATTCTGTGACTGTAGGCACATTAGGCATTATAGTAATTTACTGTTTAATATTTATACTGTCATAGTGTCATTCATTGGTGTTCTGCAGTTATAAATATAGGCACATTAGACATAGTAATTTACTGTTTAATATTTATACGTATTCATTAGTGTTCTACAGTTATAAATATATGTTTATACATAGTTCATATAATTGGTGAGATAATTGCAGGCTAGATCATTGTTACTTTATGATAAAAAAATAAAAATGTTCACGTCATGAGGTTGCCATTCTACATCAAGCAGTTTAGCAATAAGTCTGTAATAGGGAATGGCTTGATTATTGCCAATCTATCAAAACATCATTTGATTGGCTAAAGTGCTTTTCTTCTTTGTGTAAATAGTTTTGGCAAACATACTTTTGTTCTAAAGTTTGATATTTCACTTCGCTGGCAGTGATTTTGCTTGCTGAGCTCCCCTGATTTTATTTTTTTGTCCATATGTTTAATTAATGTTCTAGCAAACCAGTGCCTTCAACTTTTTTTGACGAAAGTTGAAATAATCAAACTCTTATTAACCTACTTTGATCTTAAGTTTGGCTTTAACATGTAAAAGGAGAAGTTAATTATAGGGATGTTTGTAAATATATCAAATTTAGCCACAATAGCCTGTATTTGCATAAATGGCTTTACTACATACCATTAAGGATTAGTGCATGCTTTTCTACAAATAAATAATAAGTTTTTGCATTAATCTGTTGTAGCATTAGGATTATTGTTTAAAACTCTTCAATGCAATATGCTCTATTAATCCTAGTGTTGGGTCACGGTATTGGAAGGGAAGTAGGGTTTTGTTACATATATTCAGAATTTAATCCTTTATTTATGTGGTATTAAACCTTATATAAATACTTTGCATGCTGCACAGCAGATTTAAAAAGGTGGGGTGGCCGGAGAAATACTCCATTTACTGATTTATTAATAAAATATGTAACTTTTATTTTAACCTAAGCTGTGTACCAATCTCAGTTGTCATTTAGAAGATAGAAAAACATCTTAAGAAATAATTTACAAATATAAACATCAACGAGAATAAGTTTTCAGACTTTTGTACATTGCACTAAATATTTCTACAATAAACTCAAATCAAAAATCAAACATAGCTCAATATAGTACTCTATTTTAATAAATACTACATAAGTTATCACAACATGCAGGGTACTTGGAGTGCAGTGATTGTGTGGTAGTGGTAAAGTGTTATATTTTCATAGATTGGTGTAAGAACCATATTTAATTCTTACAAAACACACATTTTCTTTTTTAAAAAGATATTCATGTTGTTGGCCATCTATATCGGCTTACTGTTTCATATGTTTGTATGTAAAGGGTGTATTGGATATCAGTATGCACCCAATTGAGTATGTTGTCACCATTTTTATTGATAAAAGCTTACAACTAAAGTGCATTTCAATAAGCCACTAATGTCAGCAGGACTGTATGGACCTACATAATATGCGTTGCTTGACTTAATCAATTTTAATTAACATATGGTATTACATGGCATGTGTGACATCCTAAAATTGGTGTACAGTATTCAAAATCATACGTAAATGGACCCCTGAACTTAACAAGAGTTTTTATTTTGCTTTGTTTTGTTTGACTTTAAAAAGAAAAAATTTGATCGAAATAAACTATTTTAAGTAAATTTGAATTACCCAAAGTAAAATGAACAGTAAAGTTTTGATTGTTTTTATTGTCGCCATTGTTTAATACTGGCACAATGTCAAAAGAAAGCATTACTTTATTTAATTAAAATGCAATAAAGCATCACGAACTGCTTACATGTCAATTGCTACCTATCAGCTGGTAAAATCATTTAATAAATCAGAGGTGTAACCTCCATGAACTAGATATAAACTTCTTATC